CTAAACTGACCTACACCAAACATCAATATTCTTTATGAAAATGTGATGTGATTTAAGCAGGAAATAACCTTTTCCGTCGTACTATTCTATTTGACCGTAGGTATCTGGCGTACTTGGTGGAATGAAGGCCGTGAAGATGGCATTAATTCCCGGGATACACCATGATGACGGTTTTTGCATCTCATACAAGCCAAACCAGAACTATGGTCAAGTACCAGGATTTTCTAACTGCTATTTTGTAACTCGGGTGACCAACTTCTTCATGGGTAGAACGGATGGGGTCCGGTCTGTAGGGTTTTATCCGGCGTACTCAAGATGCGCAGACAGAGGTAATCCTTGGCTTTATTAGACTTACGTTTAGTATTTAAGCTCAAGCATCATATCACGAGATATTAGAGAGGTTTCTTTGCGACGAAACACTAAAGAGGAACACCCAAAGGGTAAATGCAGCATACAATGTTTTACAACAAAAAACTGCGTACAAGAAAAATAAAGAGAAACAATTGAGAAACTTTTTTCTTCAGAAACTCTTGACTATTCTTTAACTATATTCCAGAAACGCCTTTCAGTCAGAAGACGTCATTTATGTGATTTCTGGACCAAAACCGTGGAAAACTGCTTTTCCATAAAACTTACATGACTAAAACCTAACGAACAAAATGTGTCTACAATAGAATATCAAGGTCTACTAACTAAAGACGTATGTTGCCCTAGCAACAACACTGACGTCACCTTGTCAGAAAATGACGCCAGAAATATTTAAGCTTTCGGCCATCTTGGATCGTCAATCTTTAATTATTGAAATTATTTTTTCAAGATACAGCCTCAAAACGCAATGTAAATAGACCAAAGATGTTTATATCAACGTTTCATTTGAAAATTACGTAGTTGTCATGAAACATTTGTGAAAAAAGTGGTTACACCAGAGAAATGGTCCGTCATCTTGGCTTTTAAATTCTTACGTCATGAAATTAGCATAGGGTGAGAAAAAGCAGAGGGTGGATTAACGGCGAGAACATTGCAAAGCTGAAGTCACTCTGTCCGGTCAGTCACAAAGACCGTGAAGTCAGACATCTTAAAAGTAGACTGGGAAAGTGTGCACTTTGTGCATCTTATGCAATCTATTGTGCCAGAAACACGCCTGCTTGGGAATGCACTTCAGGATTGTTCTACTGTAAAAACTAGATGTAAAATTTAGCTGCTGTCTTTTTTAAGAACTCTAAATTGTAATTGTTATATAATGTACCCGTAATTATAATTATATATGGCAATTTTAATCGAGAACGTCTGTATGTCCGATGCACACAGTGACTAGTATATTGTATTTTTGTCTGTCCACCTTGCGTCCTCCTCTTGTTACCTAAACATGAGACAAAGGATTGTCCTAGGTTTTTAGCTATGTATTTAATATGTCATTCATCTTGTATGGAATAAAGATGATTTTAACCCCCCTATTTAATTATTGAAATTATGCATCATTATCTAAGATGCTACTATTGTCGGAAAGGAAGTGTAATTATACATGGAAATTAATGTTTACATTTAACCAAAATTCCTGGATTTTCAAAAAACTGCCTGTCAGAAACCCTAAAAACTAATATGAAGTTGTTCACAGATATATTTTAGTTACATTTTCCAAATTTGACGGTTCTAGGCTTCAGGCACTATCTGATATAAAAACCGGCGATGGCTTGGCCCCCTTCTGAATAGGGTTAAAATAGGAAAACAAGGTACTGTACATCAAAGGATATGACTTTTGAGAATTATGAACAAGGATCTTTTGTATGATGTACACCTTATTTCATATTTCTATAATCTTATAATGGTATATAGCATGCATTTTCCTGGCATCGCATACATGTTTTAACAATTACGTTCTGTTTAGTTTATTAACAATTATCACTTGTACAAATATGCACAGAATTTTACCTGGAGGGATTGGGAAAGCTCCGGATGGCTGCTTGCAGGGGAATTCGTATCTACCACAACCAAACTAGGAACACAGAATATGTGAAATATAGATTTGGTGGTGACATTGAGAACTACCGTAAGATAACTAGGGGCATAACCTACTTCAGAAACAACATAGACTGCTGGCATAAATAGTTGGATATCTGACCTACATGTAGACCCCCAGCTGGCCTGACAATCGATATCATTCTGAATTTCCCATAATATGAAAATACAACGTCACAGCGTAATTATGTAAAGACATTTTTAGCATTGAAACTAAGACGTCATATCATATTAAGGTAATGAGCCTTGTGTTCAAATAGGTAAATATATAAGAACCTTATATAAAAGAACCTTAGAACAAGTAGTATATGTTGATTCAGCTAAGCCTTGTACGTAGGCCAAATCCAGTGTGTCTGTATCTTATCTATATGTATTTAAATCAAACTGACTTTTGAACTATAAGTTAATGTTATCTGATACATAGATGATTCCTAATAGGCCATTATCATGACTTCCTTCCTGACTTATACCTACACTATAATAGACAATATTGTTTTAAATGAATCAACATTTTCCTTTTTCAATTTCGGTAAATTTGTTATTTTTTCAACTCTATATCCTCAGCCGGACATATGCTACACATTTAAAAATACTCTACCTATTATCGTGTTATGAATAGAGCGTGTTTTATTCATTTGGTATGAGTAAGCAAAATAATGAAAGACAGTTTTCTAATCTGTTTGTGTGGGGTTTTTTTACGTTAAAATTATCCAAAAATAAAAGTCACCATACATTTGTTTGTTCTCATTAACCTTCAATGTGTGACTCTCCCGAATTCGGAGACATGATGACGTCAGGTGCGCATGAAAAGTGGCGGGAAGGCGGAATCTACCACCTTTACGGTTCAGACGGGGTAAATGGACTCTGGTGTTCACTCCCTTCTTTACACCCCTCACAAAGTAATCTTGCTCCGTATCCAAAATGTGCTCATTGTCAAGTGTAACTGTGTGGCTGATGGAATCGATATGTGTTGCGACACTTCCGACGTACTGGAACTAGGGCATCTGTGTTCCGAAAACCTATCATTGAGAGCTCGACTATTTCGTTTCACCTATGCCTGTCTCTGGACACTGCCCCTTGATGTTTTGACCAGCGCACTGAATGCGTATGAAATGTTTTAGCGAGCATTTCTGTGGTTACGACTTTAAAACCAATGTGAAATGGAGCCTTATGATTGGTCGACGACATCCGACTATATGATAATGTAAAATAAAGTTTGGGCGGACTAACCTTCGCAGAGTTTGTTGTAAGTACTTATACAGGATTCCCTTGCAGGCTATATACATGGTTAGGTGTTTAGCTGAACGTGGCAACGTGTTTTGTTTTGATTTTCTGCGAAAAATATGTTTTTACCAAATTAACGTTTTAAAATATCCTGCTTATATAATCGGAATCCACGAAAAACTATGCATTGTTAAGCACTCTATATATAGCACTCTATATATCAGATCGGAAAGTCCCTAGTTTACAATCTGAGAAAACTTTTCCTTTAATTCACAGAGTCTTTCAGATCACGCTACACTCGCTTCTTAATTATTTTAAGGTGCAGCAATATGGATATACTCTATCCGGATTACGAGATATCACATCCGAAAGGCCCACTGCATAATATGCGGTCCGACATCGAATTATTTTGAGGGTATAAATAGACCTAAGCACCACATAGACACAAGCTTCGTAGACTAAACATCATTTTCTACATACACACATACAAACACTGCCCAAAAACATTCTGACGAAGGTAACAAACACAACCACTCTTTTACACATGTAGATCAAGGCTATTGCATCCTTTGTATGCTCTCATGCTACAATAGAATCTATTTGCTTACCTGGACTTGGACACTAGTTTTAAGTAAAGTAAATAGGTAATGTATGATCTTTAACAAAAATTAAAAAACCAACAAAAATGATAAATAACCGGCATTCAACATTACAATAGTTTTTATTGTCTACTTTATTCATCAGGAATTTCTTGTCCTGATACAGTATCAGGTTATTAGAGCTTATAAATCT